GCCTAAAGGACGACTGCCAGCTGCTAACTAGCAGATGTTAAGGAAATGCACTGTATAATTATGCAACCGCGACTTATTACCGACTTATAAACGAAACAATTAAATTCCGTTTAGTATTTTATTAGTAGCTTTCACTCGTTCTTTTGCCCGCGCGGAATACGTACGTATAGGTCGAATTTCACCGAGATCCGTTTAGCAGTTTAGGCTGCAAAGATCCATCCATCCAAACTTTCGCATTTATAATATTAGTAAGACAACTAGAGTCGTAAGAAAAATAACAGAAATGTTTTTGCCCTACAGAAGGGTAATGTATATGGTATTTCAGCGGGAATGATTATAATGCTTTGTGTATTCAATTATAATCTGTACTTTAATTGGGTCAACAGATTTAAGGCAGTTATGTTATCTGATTTTAGGTGCGAGGTATTTATTGATTTTTCAAATTAACTTCTGAGTAAGTACTAATAAAATTTATATGGTCTAACAGATGAATAAGGGCGTAATTAACAAGATCTTCACCAAACAGCTCTTGATAATAAGGTTGGTTTTTTAGAGCAAGGGTATGAAGATGAGTTAAAGTGCGACAAACGTGATTTTTGGAGTGTTTGGGTCTTGGTGAAGCTTTGATCAGTTGCTCTACTTCATAGGGACCACTCGCGGAAACTTTCACGGGACGCTGCCTCGTTTGTGAAAAGCCAATGAGTATCGCTGGATGCGGCATTTCTTTAAGAATCAAAGTTTTTTGGGATCGCATAATGATGGTCATTAGGTCCGTCCCTTGTCAGTAATACGCTTGAAGTTTTTTGGGAAATATGAAAGTGTTTTTTTTTTGGTAAAATTTCTAAAACATATGTGTAGTTAAATGTTATAAATACAGTTGTTTTTTGCTACAAACATTAAAATACTACTACAAAATCTTCCGGAAATTATTTCAAGAGTCTCTTAATAAGTAAAACTCAATAAAGTAACATATACGGTATGACGTTATCAATTTCAGTCTATCGGTTTACGAGCAGTTTAAGTGTACATATTATGTATGTCTTTTAAGAGATATATAATTGTGAGAAAAAGAATTTCTGTAGCTTTATTCAAATGATGTTCGAGACGTTTACTGTGGGCTGGCATTTACGTAATCCCTTATGAAGAGAATTGTTATTCCCTTGGTACATTGACTCGATATCTGAATTCTAAAGCCAACGGTATTTAGATATTTGATTCTCGGAATACATTATTCATTATAATACGATAATAATAACTTTCATTAAATTATCTTCACTTTAATTACGAATTGTTAACCGGTCTTTGTAAATTAGTAAGAAATTTAATAAAGGTGTCCAAATTTCGAATTTGACAATACGAAGAAGTGAAAAGTGCTAAAACTCTTTCGTAAACATTACTCTTAAATAAATGTTTTCACAATAGTTTATTGATTTATTGTAGAATTTAGTTCTGTGAATTGTGTTATATTTTTATAGTTTGCGTATACATTAGAGTTTATTATTTACGATTGACATTGTGATCGTACATTCAAAGATACCGCAATGACCCACAAACTCTAGTGTACACGCGGAGAGCCCAATCAAAGTTACGAGCTATTTCCTTACCACATAAAAGCGTGATACTGATTTATAGCAATAGTACGTCCTCGTAAATAATACAATTCCACGATAGCCGACAATGCTCTGAAAATCGTATCAAAGATGCCGCATAGAATTTCGATCTCGGTCCCACTCGACATATGTTAAAATATCTTTACATATTGCGTGTAAAGGTTTCGGTGGATTTAGTCTATAGGCATATCTACGGTAAGTTATTTCATAAGAATTGCAAAAGTGAATGCGTGACGGACTAGATAATAAAATTCGTTTCTCCTCATACACGTATATAAAGACTTTCTGCAAGACCATGACTGAAATAATAAATTCTTGTACTTTTATTTAGCATGGCCGTTATTCTATTCCATTAGTTAGCATAAGTAATGTAACGTACAGCTTTTAATAAATTTTACTTTTGAATTTAAACATAAAAGTAATCTTCGGTCTCGCTTAATTAAGGAGTGAAAAGGACTGAATCTTTTAATAGAAGAATTGAAGTATATACAATACGCAACCGTATTAATAACTTTTCACAATACTGGGTGTTATTTTATAACAAAGTTAAATATGGTATACAAATGTTTCTTCATTTCGCAAATTTAAAGTTATGTTCGTAATGTTTTCTTGTAAGCGAAACTGTAACAACTTAAAGTAATAGGAAAGGTTAAACGGGAATGAATAAAGTTGGAGGTGGGTGAAGTTTCATTTGACAATTTAAAGTTTGTGGAAATAGTTAAGACTAAAGCGGGGGAGAAAATACAATACTAAAGGAATACTTTGACGGCAAAGGGGTTTGGAAAGCAATCCGATGGACACGACATCGTTGGCTCATTGTTAGTAGTTGCATAGAGTTAATGACTTAACCGAGTTCAGGAACATGCAAGTTGGAATGGTTCTAATTTTGTGCCGACCATGGGGCTAGCGTTACTACACTGCTAAGAACTTGCCTAAAACTTCAGAGGTAAGCTTAGTAATTAGTTAATTGAAAATAAAATAAGCTATAACAAATTTATAAGTATTAGAACTAGACTAGACGAGAAATATGTGTACAAGGTTAACAATCGTAATGTGTTTAATAAATGGATAGAGAATTAAAAGTCAGCAAACCAACCTTAAAATTTGGAAAAATCTTTAACAAGTCAAATAATAATTGATTCGTTTAAAGACAAAACGTGTGATAAATGTGTACAACTTGTTAAAATGGAGCCGTAGCACGCCAAAGTGGGGGGCAGTCTCGGGGGATACGTCTGCAAAGTTTGCAGTAGCGACAAGATGGATGGGGCGCCACTGTAGCCGCGTACCATCACTAACCAACTCAGTTACTGCCCAAACTGAGCGTGCCAAAGTTTCCTTTTTGCAATGTCCGTTGTGCTCCGGAGTAAATGTTCTATCGTTTACTTTCAGACAGACTATCGGTTATATTTGATATTAATTGTAAGAGAGGGAACACACCTTAGATTAAACTATGGCACAATTGTGTGTCTATTGTTTTGTAGCCAATTCAACTGTTTAGTTGTAAAAATTGAGAAGTGAGCGCACCTCCATATAAGCTCATAGGAATGAAACCGCGACTGAACATTGTGCGATAGATTAGTCAAAAGTACTTTTTAAGTATAGTCTGGAGACGTGATTTAATAAATTAATCTATTACCTCAGTGACTGTCAGCAAATCAAAAAGTAATCATATAAGATTACTCTTATAGTAATAAACTATTAAAAATATAGAGGTTATCGTCCATATGGTCCTAAAATTAATGTCCAACATATAAGTTGAACATAACGATGCAATAAAACCCCTTGACCCGAGGGATTACAATGTACAGGTTTTTTTTTTTATAACATAAGGTGGCAAACGAGCAAGCGGCCACCTGAATCCGCCAAAATGGTGAAGCGACCCCTGCCCATAGACATCCGCAATTACAGATGCGTTGCCTACCCGTGTCCAACAGAGGAGGAGACGCACATAAAGAGGATATTTCCCCTCCCTATGCCTCTCCTCCACCGTCAAATCCACTTCCCCTTCCCACCCTCTTCTTATAAGAAGAGGGTGGTAAAGAGAAAGGGACTTAAATTAGGCACAGGTATATAAATTATATTTTTATTTTACTTTCATAATTAGTTTCTTAACATGATATACAGACAAGCTTTGACAACCTTCTCTGTTCTCTTAAAGAAAATGATAAGGACTGCAATACATTTTTGTACAAATTTACCTATCGGAAGTGGAAAGATATGATACTTCAACTTGATAGCTACAACATATATCTGTTTCAAAAATCTCTTTGTTACAATTGATTATAAATCAAAACAATTCGTGTTAAGCATATTAATTAATAATAATACGTATAATAAAATGTTTCTTTTATACTGTAACCATCCATTAACAGGGAAAATAAATGTTATAAGATCGCGAAAGGTACCATCTGGCCTATAGGCTTGTTAAAAATGTTAAAGTAATTACGGCTATCGGGTCCGCACCTGCCCTCCCCCACCTCTCCCTACTTCCTTACCCCTCCCTCTGTGATAAGGAAAAATCTTTTCTACCTTTACCTTTTATTACTTTATTTATACTAAATGTATTAAGCTTACTCGTATATACTATAAGAGACTACTAATGGCCGGTTTCCCAGCTACGTTTTATGTTTTACTCCGTTGAAACACAGGTCAACCATACACTAATGAATCGCTAGGTAATGTCAAAATAAGTGGAAACTTTAGTAACCCAGCATAAAATAGTGAATATAATACAAAGTTGCTATATAAATTTTTATGATTCATAAGTTTTTGGAGAAGGGTAATGTTACGATCTGCTATGTATTGGACAACATTTACCATTATCAAACAAAAGAAACAATTACATTAAGTGAGTCGTGTAGAAGTCTTTGGGGATGCTCTTGTCATTTTTGCGCAGCTAAATTTATTAGAAAGCTAAAATAATGTGTTTAATGTAAAATTATCATTTTAATTTCAATGCTAAAGAATATGATTCTACAATATAAAAGAGAATCAGCTTAGCTTTTTAAACAAACCACTATACAGTTATTTTCGACTACAGCACGTTCGCTACGAACAATATCTCGTTTGCTGCCTGAAATTCATTTTTTTGGTACAAGAAAAGCATCGCTAAAGTGCTTGTTTGTTTTCCTTTCATATGCAAAAGTGTGTACACAAAAATCCTATGCTAATTATGTTTTAATTTTGGGTACATTACTTTGAGTTTCGTCTTTCCTTTTTGTTTATTCTTCTGACATTGGATTGGTTGTTCTTTCAGACCAATTAAGCTACTTACAGAAACAAACACACTCGTAAGCTTCGGCAGTCTCCAATACTATTTAATTAGAAGCAAACTTAGTATACTCATAAATTTAGAAGGCGTAAACATTAGTAATGGTGTGTAATACTTACTCGGCACCATTTTGTCCTCCCCTGTGCAACATGCCCGCGCGTGCCATCTCACGCCCACGCTCTGAAACAAAAAAACAGACGATCCATTAACGTCGAGACGTTCATGAGTTTTTCTCGCATCTTTACGTTCACTAAATACGGCTTATGAACCTCCTTTATTCGATATTAGAGAGGAGATACACCAAATTATACCGACCCCAATTTCCACCTAATTTTTCTCAATATAAATAATGCATTCTTTTCAACTAATTATTCCATTGTGTCCCCTTAAATTCAATTCGGTCTACCGGACTTTTATATCTTTAGAAATAAAGCGATTCTTTTTTATTGTAAGGTTCTTAATCGATTTCACGTTGAATTATGATTAAAATGAAATGGGAAGCTTGAATATGCGGCGGATTTCTTCTGTTCACTTAAAATCTTCAGTTAGTGAAAGTTCAATACAACGCAATACATTTATAAAATTCCTATCGCGAACAATATCCTTTCAAGGCCATACATCAATTAGCGCTGTCGTCTATCTGGGAGTTCGTAAGAAAGATGTAAAAGTATTTATTTAACAGTTTAATCAGCAATCAATTAAGCGAGAGGAAGAGAGCTTGATAAATTGGCCGTGGAAATTGTAGCGCCGCAGCGCTTTGCAGCTCCTAGTTAAACAACGACACGCCGCCATCCTTTTAAACGCGTCGCTAATTTATGAGAGACGTTTTTGAAACGATTCATTTCGTTGGTGGTTGCCAAAGAAAAACAATAAATATACATCTCTATGGGTGACTTCGTCTGGCTGTGCGGACATGAATATTTCACTTTTACAATTTATTATGAATTCTGGCGATCGGCGGCAGGCGGGCATGACGTTGGCGAATTGCGTACGGAAACATGTTCGTTAATGGGGGAGACGCATTTTTTTATGTTATCCAACAACCAGTGGATTGTATAAGATATTAAATGAAGGTAGTAACTATAATAGTAATGCTCTGCATATGATTTTGGAATACAATGGGTATTGAAATGTTAACTATATTAGGTAGTTCAACGCTCAAGTACAGATCCATTTACTGTATGGATGGCCAGTTTAAACCACGTTTAAAGCCAGTGTTCGTCTTTCATTCTAGTCTAATGTAAGTATGGATATCTTAATCTTTAAAATCTACTTTTTGTGATTGGTTAATGGAGGTTACGATGGTACAAAGTTACCAAAATATCAATAAAGAACATTACTATTTTGTTATATGAGCAAAAAGTAATTGTATAAACTAGTTGCAATTACTGTTCTAGAGAAAAGAAAAGGTAAGGGACTTCTACCTAAATAACAACATCAACAATGTAACTGAACTAATTGCAGTAATTAGCGCAAATGGCTATCAGTTAACGTGATTTGAGCAACAGATATGTGCGAAGTGCGTGCCACGTGCTGCTAATTGTACCAATAACAATAAACAAAGTTACTCAATAATCGTATTCCTGATGGGAGCTGTCGCATTAGCATAAACAAACATAACAATGATGTGGTGTGCATGCCTATAATTAACATAACGAGCGAGCTTTAACTGGATTACAAGCTTTATTAATCGCGAAAATTTAGCGCGACGCGTAATGGAGCGTCTTAGACTATTAAGAAAAGGACTAGACAAAGAACCTACGATGTTTTAAGTAAAATCTGCTACTTTTTACGCGCGTGATGTAATAAAGACAATCACACATGTGTAAATCATGCTGACACATACGTGCTTAGAAACGCATTCTTAAAAAACAAAATACATAAAACATGCACACGCATAATCTGTGGAACTCATTGTGCTTATTTGCCCGAGCAGAATGCGTGCGTTTGATTGATCCTGTCATTTCAAACTCAAAGTGGAAAGTCGATTCTTGGTCTGAGACACGCAATTCAGACATTATCCTGGCAGCACTTACGAACATATGTCACGACGCAATTTAATTGATTTACGATTTTTATACCGCAAATAAAATGTAACGTTACTTTGTGACGCTTAACGTTTTATGTGGATACTAAAGTTTGTTGTGATTGTTATTAAGACTTTTATTATCATGAGTATAGGTTAGGGTCTGTTTCTGTACAACGACATCTATGACTAAATAATCATACTATCATACTAATATTATAAATTGCGAAAGTTTAGATGGATGGATGTTTGTTAGAGTTTGTAGCCTAAACGGTTGAACGGATCTCAATGAAATTTGGCCTAGACATAGAGCATAGTCTGGAAGAACACATACGCTACACACTTTTTTTTTAATTCCACGCTGACGAAGTCGCCGGCGAAAGCTAGTATGTAATAGTTTACTAAACGATATATATAGTTACTAATCATTAAAAAACGGATATATGTAAATATTCCAAATTCAAGAAATTTAAACATAGTTAAAAACAAGCGACAAACGTGACATACACAATTTAACGTGTCTTAAGTGCTTATTTACGAGAACTACACAAGAAAAATTAAAATAAACATGTTAAAATATGTAACATCGAGGGCACGTTGAAATTATCATCGCTCTTACAGTGATTCTGTAAATGTACATCAAGAGGAAAGTCGTAAAGTACGCGCACGTCCTTACGCGGGGTGATATCGCTAAATCCCATGAAAGTGGGGAGGTTTCGGCGCGTAGTCTGCCTCCGTCGCTATGGCAACGCCATAAAATGCCTCCCAACTTGGCATGCGTAATAAAATAGAAAGTTGGTAATATTTTGTGCGTTAAACAGCATTGGCCCACAACATGTGGTGCACAGGATTAATAAAAGTCAATGGAATAAGTTTCATAATATAACCTTATTTATGAGGCGGTCAAATAAAATGCTACGCCCAGATTAACGAATAACACAAATATTATTGTATTAGTTACTTTATTGGTAGAAGTTTCTATCAATAAATTGTAAAATATTTCTATTCTCTTCCTGTTCTTTCATTTTATTGTCATAGTTACATATGAAATCAGTGTGGTGTAGTTTTTTTTATTGATTAGCTGTTCCCGTGCTGCTTCATTCGCGAGAAATTAATAAAAACTTAATTTGCTTACACTTGTTAAATACCCAATTGCAAATATGAAAATTCAAATCCACAAATGACAACGACGGTAATCTTGCTTCTTTGATGTTGGCAGCTTGTAGCTTATAGTCCCTTTCCCATATGAAGGTTTTTACCCCGATTTATTTACACACTAAGTTTAACAGCGTGAAAATGTATACCCTAATGCGTGTCATAAGGGTAGGTTTTTTTATTAATGAAGGAACTATTCAATGCTATGATTGCAGACATCCTACGTCACAATGTTTGTGTGTGTGTTTATGCTTTGTTATAATATTATAGATTGTTTTTTATTCGATCATTATTTAAATTTGCTCACCTGGACGTGCGATCCGGAGGTCGGTACAGTTGGTTAATAATTTGGCTCATTCCAGATACCTGTAACAAATTCACAGCTCAATTGCTGAAAGTAAATACTAAACAATAACATTGTTTGTTGTCCTATTAAACAACATTTAAATACCACAAATAACCTAAAGTTCAACACTTGTTATTTTTTTATATACACACTGTTAAAAAATAAAACAATTTTAAAACAATTCTGAAAGTTTGCGAATAATCAGTGTTGTGGAAAGTTTTAATATTTCATTCATCTTTCAACCGAATGAATACATTTTGTTTTATTATGCCGCGATAAAATAACATGAAAATATTCATTTCAAAGTTTATTACGTTCGTTTTACTGCGCAACAGTATTTTTTGTAATATTTGGCCCATATTGGTTGTAACTCAGTCACTTCAATCTTATTTATTGAGTGATAAATATTGATAGGTATTCAGTTATGATATCCTTTTACACGTCAATGAAATTCATTTGATGTCTTATATGTTATTTGAATAATAATTTCAATAACTTCTACAATAAAACTCTCCTTTCTAGTTAACCAATATAGCATTAATCAGTGCCACATGCACTTGTTTCAGAATACCACTTGTGATTCCGGGTAAGTGTCCGTTTAAAATTTTATTTCGTTACCTCTTTATAAATTTTATTTTGTCCATAATGGGGACAAGTGATGCGTTCGATCGCTTACCCCGCTAACACGAATCTCGATGGACAGGGTGACCCGTTTATTATCGCTTCACGGAGCAATCTTTAGAAGCCGGAACTAAACGGGTCAATACACTCAGCCAAGCATCTATAAAGTCAGGTCATTGGCAACCTTAAGCTGCGAAGAGTCAGCTCATATACCTAATGAGAGGCTCGAGTCTATCTTAATTAGGGTTGACAGGTTTTCAACTATGCTGGCCCTATGTGTATAACTGCAGATTTCACATACTTCAATCTACTTCGCAAATGTGTGTTTATCGTGATGTTTTCCCTCACATTAAGACTTAAAAAAATGGTACATGGCAGGAAATAAGCCCAAGACATCCTTATCAGTCTGGAACTAATCCGAAGTATTAGAATTCCTTTTGCGATAATTCTGCCTACCAAAAACACCTGTGGCTGCAATAAAAGCTTTATAACTTACGAATCATGCCGTGACGGATGTTACGAAATACCGATGTTTCGAGCCAATAAATCTCTCGCTAAAGGAAATTTACTTTATCTTTTCACTTGTTTTTTCGAAAGTTTCCGTATATTTTATCGTTTTTAATATTATACAGTAGAAATGGTAAAGAAAGAAAAGATTTACAAGTTTAATTTTAAAATATAGGACTCTATAACTGGCACAATTGTCACGTCAACATTTAAGAAGTTGTACAAAGAAAATAGAAGTGAAGCGAAGTACTAACAGTAATAAAATATTAAAGACGCTAAAATTATTACGCCGGCGCTACCGTCTGGCACAAAGGGAATGACAATTTCACTGCTTTAAATTGTTAAGTTATGATTGAGGATGGTAGCCGACGCAATGATTTACGGCGGGAAAAGGACAATGACATCTCTGGCGAATGTCGTGCAATACCAATTTAAATCAGACCCATCTATCGTTGTATCGCTATTTTTTAAAGAAGGGATAAAAAACGTATCGCAGGTAACAAACTTATTGAGAATTGAGAACAGTCTTTTGTTTTTGAGCATTTACTTGTTTTTGATTATATTAGATTAGTTATTAGTTTGTTTTGTAACTAGACTTCATACATAAAGTGCATTATTCGCAATATGTGATAAAATAACGGCAGCATTACCGTACGGGTGAACGAACGGACAATTTTATTACGTATGTTCGCATAACTAAATTACGCTGCACGTAATGCCTACGGAAAACTAAATAGCGGAAATATTAGTAAACGAGTACCGACAGCAAGCGATCGACCTCATAAATGAGGACGCTTTTGTCTAATTCGCGTTTATGCCTTATTTTTTTCTTCGTTAAACTTTTTTTGTTTTTTAAAACTTATCCGCTACTTTCTCTTGTCTATGATTAATTTCAATGTCTCAAATCTTAAATGAGTAAAAATGATTTAGATAGTGTATAGCCGTATTAACAGTTATTTATCAAAAGTTGCCATGGCATCGTCAATCAAAATTCATAATTGTGTTACAACGAACCAAACTCTATCTCACGTGGTACAGCTTGGCGTCGACGCCAGTGTGGCGCTGTGTGGTTGTGGCGCTCTGTGGCTGCGGCGTTGCCAGCCCGAACGACTAGCTGTCCTTGTTTTGGCGGCGCCGCCACACTTCTGGCGTCGCGCAGTCGCTTCCAAGTAAATTCGTGCGTATAAAGCACAACTATCTCATTCGCCCATTCGGCCGCCAGCTGCGATGCCAGTCGCGCGTCCCGTTTGTATCTTACTATCAAACTAAAATTTAAAATGGCGTTCGACACTGAAAGATTTATAGCCGAAATAGAAAGTAGACCTGCAATCTGGGATATATCTTCAGATGAATATACCAACCGCAATTTGAAGAAAAGAAGCTGGGAAGAAGTTGTACAAATATTTAGACAAAAGGACGGCATGACGAGACATGAAAAAAAATACATGGGTAAGTTTTTTTAATAACCCTATATTGTTATCTCAGTCATGACATTTTGCACAAATACCTTTGTAAAAGTATCACAATCGATCTTGGCTCTAAGAACATTGTTTACACCAGAACATTTTTATTTTTCAGAAGATGTATTACAAAAAAAGTGGAAAAGTATCCGTGGTTGCTTTATGAGGGAAATTGCGAGACAAAAAGCATTAAGGTTAGGAAATGGGGCTGGACCACGCAAAAGCGAATACATGTACTTTAAACAATTGAACTTTTTAAAAAAAGTTATGATCATAAAAAAAACCTTACATCCATCGCAAATAGAAGAGGAACATACTCAAAACACAGACATTAGTCAATCAAGACCACAACAACAGATTAAAGTTAACTCCGAGTCTGGCGATGATCCACTTCAAGAGTTCTTATATAAACCACTAGAACAAAGAGAGAGTTATGATTTTGCAGAACAAGACGAGGATAAGATGTTTTTACTATCACTAGTGTCTACACTAAAAAAAGTACCAGAACATAAAAAGATAGCGACAAAAATTAGAATGATGTCGTTGCTCGAAGAAGCAACACAGACCACCTCGCATGCCTATTATGAGTAGTTACAAAATATACAACGCAGAACTATCCGCCTATAACATTTACGAAACTACCATCCTAGTCATTCGACTTCGCGAGAAACCAACATTCCCCCTGTGCGGCCGCCATAAGAATCATTCGGACTCAACGCATCGACTACACCTACGATCAACCAAAAATGAAGTTACGAGTACTTGGCCAGTCTCTTATGTAAATAAAGTTTAATTATTACTAATCTTCATAAGTTATTACCTACTTATATTGTAGTTGCAAAGGTTTTGAGCAATCGTTTTTGTGGATCTAGTGAGCAATTATTCGATTACTTTTGGCATCACACGGACGCGAAGGGTAACGACAGAAGTTCTTTTGGTGTAGCTGCCACATTATTCTAATAAAGTGAAATAAAACATAGGATATTAGCATTACTTATGATCTACTGGGATGTTTAAAAAATAAAGCACATCTCAGATGAGGAGAAAATAATCTAAAGTTTAAAATCCTTTTTTTCTGTCTGTACCATAAGCATACGTAAAACTTTTCTCTGTCTATTTTAATTCGTTCTCATGAAACTTTTTAATGTATCCACGCGCAAACGGAACAAAAGTCCAAGCGTTTTCACTCGCTTGGTTGTCGACTTACAAAAATAAAGAACGCACATCAAAGGGATAGTGTTAACCTAAAGATGAAAAACTGCAATGTATTATAAACAAAAGGTTTCTTTAGTAGCAGCCGGTACAAATGGATTAGCATTTTCTTCTTGGTGGTCTTTCGTAGGTTTAGAATACAGGAATATGCGTATGACATCTGCTTGAATTATTTCTGATGAATACTTGTGAATATTTAAAAAATCTCTGTGTTTTTAAAGAGAATAACAATAATTAAAACATGTTTAAGTATTTTAACAGAGAAACCCTATTGACATTTAACACAAATGCTTGGTAGAAATGAATTACTGGAATGTTTACGCATGTGATATGCCTGACCTATTAATGTAATTGGACATGTAAATGAATATGTGGTAATATTGACGTTCATTAGTGTATCCTAAATAAGGATGAGGGAATTGCAGTGCAAATGTGACATAGTTATAGCAAGTCTGTAATCCTCTCAGCGCTCCACATCGTGTGCCCTAGTTAGCCGACAGCCGACAATGGAGAGAGCCATTAGAGTCGGTCATGTGTTAACAAGTTTAGTTGGTATTAGTTGACCTGATGGAGAAAAAAGGAAATGCAACATAGGAAACAGGTCGTGTACCGCGCCTCGGTGCGCGCGGACACCTCTGTTATTGTAGGGGAGGTATTGAATGCATATGAAACGTATAAAAGAGATACATTCATTGAAAACAAACGATTTTGAAAACAACATAATTATTTTCAAGTTACAATATGAATAATGTTTTAAGAAAGCTTACAATTATAAGGTTGTTTATGTTTGTCTTTATTGTATTTAGTGTGACATTAATAAAAAGTTTTTTAAGTAAATTGTGCAAGGTATTAAAATAAGATTAATTTTGTTAATTATGATTGCAATTATTTAATTATGTACCGATAATATTCGAAAATGTAATGAAAATTTTATCACGGATGTGGTTGGCGTGACGTCGACACGATACACGTATTTAATTATAAAAATTGTTATGTTAACGCCATGTTGGTTTACTGCTTTATTGCTATGCAGTATTGCACCTTATGTATTTCGAAAAATAGTTAACTACTTTTAGATGTTAAATTATACATTTTAAGCATACTATGACATATATATTCGGCGCATTTAACACCTTCTGTAGTTTTACACAGATTTTACAAGCTGCAACTTTTCGTTGTTATTATTGGGTCGTGGTATCAACACATGTTGAGCCACTTCCCCATTTTAATACCACTTTAAAGTCATGAAAAGTGTGTTGGAAGAAATAAAGTATGGCGTAACGTTCGGTTTTCACTGAAAAAACTTCTACACAAAGACGTATTGTCATCTCAGGTTTTTTCAGTGTGGATAAGAGAGACGACAATATCTTTGTGTGAATGTTGGCAGTGGAAACCGACGGTTAGTGCACGTTGTACGGGCCGTCTTTAGCCCGAGCTCGCCGCTCGTTTAATCACAATGGGGTTAATGCGCAGTGTTTTTGCTCCCAGTGAACTAATCACACTCAGCTCCGTACGTTAAGGATTTAAAATAATCTTGTTCTCGTAATTTACACGAGTGTGCTAACAATTAAAAAGTTCTAATTAATTTGAGATGGAAAAATAAATGCCCAATTATTATATAAGCTCTAAAGTGATTAAATAACATTTTAGTTGGGGCGTAATTTTAGAGCAAACCTGGACACCAATGATGCAGCGTTGATACACAAGAAATGCATAAAGCTTTGTTAATATCGTTAATTGTCTTAAACACATGTTAGGCCTTCGGGTGCTGCATTATCTTCACTTATGGTTAATCCTTACAGGTGGATTTCCATTAACTGTCCTATATAACAATTGTTTATCTCAATCTGATAAGAAACCTATAAGAAATTCAGTTATATCATATCTAATATATAACCATGTGTAAATTACTTATAATAATAGCTGCTGTTTACTTCAGAAACTTCTATAATGTAATTGACTAACTAAAACATAAATTATAAGCGCGCTGTCAACTCGTAAGCTCTCGAGATTGTCCCCGGCTTTTAAAATCCTACGGGACAACTGCTATCTCAGTCCCGACGTAGGATCTAAGTGTCGCTGAAGAAATTTCAATAAAATGCCAACTAATCTGTTTCAAACTAATTTAATTTGAAGCCGACACTTTACCATCAGATTGTACTTTGTATTTTTAATATTAAAAGTTACAATAAAGTTTTTTAGCATGTTTTAAGAAATTATTTTTGTTTTTATAAGAACACGTTAATTACGACAAATATTGAAATGCAACGACCCTCGAAATGTTTTGAAAAGAAGACAAAACAGCAAAAAAAGAAACTATTATCTATTGGCTATTGGCTAATAAGTTAAAGGTTAAAGTTGAACTACTTAATGATAATAGAATATCATATTTGAACTAAAGCTCTTTCAAAGTAGCTTAGAAGTCGAACAAGCTGGCGCGTATAGTACGATCGAAATTTAATTCCTCTGAGAGACGTTAAAAGCTCATAAAAGCTTTTCGACTTGGAAATGCACGAAGTGAAATGTTGGTGAATTTTAATAATGAGCAGTGTTTAGGAAGAGGCGGTTGGAGGCTTGAGGCCTGAGCTCCTTATCGGCGTTCGGCCGTCGCCTGCACCGCCACCGCAATCAGATTTGCTGGCTCGCTGCCTCTCAACAGCCCGCAAATAAATATCGCAAACTTTACTCCTTGTGAAAGACACAACTTCATTTTAATAAATTCACGAACCAATTCTTATATAAATGTGAATTTTTTTATTTATTTAGAAAGCTCACTCAGTTGAAATGAATGAACACCAACATAGCAAAGTGCAAACAAAAGTGCACACTTTATTATGAACAATTGGAATGCTGTTACTCACCATCTGGTGTGATGTAGTGAACAAGCTTTAAAGCTTTGACAATCAGTTCTGAAACAAAACAAAAATACTATTTAAGTTTAGGTTAAAATAATGTATATTTTAAACTGTAAAAAGGACAGAGGATACCTGACTGTACCAAATATTTACACCTACAACACCAGTGACACTCTGCTGTGCGGTACGAGACTTATAAGTGAATAAACCAGGTTCTTAATGATCCCATGTAATACTTGTAATAAAAATTATATGTATTGCAAGCAGTTCATTGAATCTGGCATAGAATGTGCGGTTGTTGCATTATTTTCAAGATTAAAATCTTAAGCCACGGCAATACATGCCGTCATCTACATTTTTCCTTATTAAATTCTAATCTTAATAATATATGAGTACAACAGAGTTGCACGTTACACTGGTACAACGTGTTTGTAATTATTCATAAACATGTAACGCTTGGCGTCGAGGTACAATTAAAAATGTAGTAACAGTCTCCAGGTCAAATTTGACTGCTAACTCCCACGTATACTGCAAACGACATGTGTAAATCAGAATAAATGTAGACGACACTTTTTGGACGCAGGTTACAACTAACAAATGTTTAGTCAACTTTATTATATGCTACAAATAATGCCAATAGCTCCAATGGTGGAAAATAAAATTAAAATAGTCACTTAGATAGACTTGAATTGTTTGAGAACTTTATTGTAATTGATAGGATGCGATTACCTCTTACAAAGGTCTAGTAATTAAATCTGTTGAGTGCAAAATACAACCTCTTTGGCTGACAAGCAGTATGTATACAGCCAAAGAGGTTGCATACTGGCCACCAAGGCATTTATCAGGAAGTCAAGATGTGATCGAGATAGTTTTGAGTTTTTTGTATATACTTGTGTAAATAAGTTTTGAATAAAGATGTGTTATTTTGATAAAAGTGTTTTGTATTTTTGGCTGCCGCGCTGTCGCTAACAAGTTAAACAAAATCAATTGTACACAATTGATTTTTTTACAAATAATAAACCAGCTTGCCTATGTGAAATTATTCGGCTGCAAACATGTTTGTACAACCTGGGATTAATGTTTTTAGCAGATGGACGCCTAATTAGCAAATGAAAATGGAAACTCCGACGAACAATACAGTACATTGTTTACGAACGTACAGAAGCGTTGTTTGAAATACAAACGTTATCTCAGATTCGATTAAAGCGATTGAAGTATTTAATTTATTCATTACATTCATTACGTGTTATTTATTAACATTGTGATGTTATAATAATTTAAAGATAAGTTTAACTAGGATAAGTTTAATAAGTAAGAAACGAATACAATATAATATCCTATTAAATAAACTCTAAATCAAAGTATACACCGCAATATGCTGAGAACAGAGAAACCTATCCATCAAATTTAATAAATCCTCGATAGGCTCAACGTCGAAATGAAAATCAGCATATTGCTGAAATGATTTCGCGACGACACACACGTCCTCGCTTGCGGCGCAGTTGATTCGTAATGAGGCAGAGATACGGATACCTGACATGTATGAGTAGTATGTATTATAAGATTCACACTTTATAGCGGTTCGTGGAGAAAAAAAGGGAACGAACGAGCGACGGGATCAAAGTGATCATCGACGTCCATGGATATCCGCAAAATCAGAGGACCTGCAGTGTCGTTTTCGACCTTTGTTTAAGGGGTAGAGATGTTTGGTTGCGAACTCCTGTTTTTTCATGAGAGTACTAGGGTCTACTGCGAGTGGAGGAAAATGTGCAGAGAGATAACGCAGTTTTTTACGTCCCATTAATATCTGAAATATACGTCCCGTGCGAAAATCTGAGTTACCACAATGTTTGAATCGCATTATACCTACTTACAGACAGTACGTCGACACAGCCCCGTGTCGCATTTACAACGCTCTAAAGAACTGATACTTCATATGTCTGAGATGTTTTTCAAGAGAAACTCAAGAGACCAGGTAGTTTATTTTTTAGATTGCTTTAATTCAGACTTCTCAAAATTTATCAATAGGTAGTTTTTGTAATGTTTTTAGATTACGTAATAATGTAGACATTAGTTGGACGCCACGGTACTAATGATAATAGCAATATTTTATGTATAGAGTTAAATATTGTAACATAACATTTCAAGACACCCTGAAAGCGAGTCTACTTCATTACTGAAGTGAAAGTATCACTAATCTCGCTCAAATGGTACATCGAAAATGCTGTTAAAAAGCCCATTTTGGGATTCAAAGAAAGTTATTCGAGGGGCGGAGGTGGAAGTAGTATTGTACGGTCTGAGGAGACATCAAAAGGCCTGTATCAAAGAGGAGTGTCGCCTCATACAGGGAAATGCGTCGAGACGCCCCTCCCCTCCAATATTAGGAGGGTCTGATGTCTAATTTAAATTTCTCCGTCGATGTGCGACGAAAATACGCGTTATGCGCCATTATTGATTTTGTACGTGGCGACGTATTTGGTATTCCCCGATGTTTGCAGTGCACAATTAAATACATGCACAAATTATATGGTGTTTGTAATAAGTTAATTCAAGTCTCAATCACAGTCATTACTTTGAAATTAAAGGAATAAGTGTATTTAAATATTCCGATAATCATTTTAATGGTAACTTTAATGGCTGATCATTTAAAAATTAGCCTGCTAACTGATTCATATTACAATCTAAGGAAGATTACGAATCAAAATTTCAAAGACTTTGTCGTAATTTTACTTTAGACGTTAATGTTGCTGGGATCACTGTTCAATTAACATACATGAAAATACTAACATTCTCGTGAAACACTTGAGTCTCTTACTAGTAGCGAAAAAACATTTAAGGGTTTTATAAAGCGTGATCCAAGTACAGTAGCGACAGATTCACGTCAGCATTCTGTCGATTCTTAGACACGTTAGGTTGAAACGCGTTTTCGTAAATCAGCGAATTGTGAAAGTTTTTTTTTAATACATTTCATATTATTCCCAAACTGATAACAAATAAATACGAAGCTGTGATAAAATGTGATACAAGTATTTTTTTTTAATAAGTAGTGAATCAAAGTGGTTTCGTCTGTATTTAGTGACTAAGCTGTAAAAATGATTATTGCATAATCGACCTTTAGGTTTATTTACTTTAATGTTTCTTTTAAAATCAAAATGAATCTAATTATAAACAAAGAACATTAACTATGACCGGGGAAAACCAACATTCGCAAAAAAATGTAATGGAAGAATTTTGCTCGAAAGCATTCATGTACAAATATAAAAGAAATTAAACGATTAAAGCCTTAATGTAATTTGCTTAGAGTGTATATTCGTGTGGCTTATTAAATGTTGTATTTAGGTATCTATTTAAAGAGCATAAATGCGGGCCGTAACAGCTTTTTTTAATTAAATAGCTCATTGTGGGAATGAAAGCGCCATATCATTAAGTTACAACATACCTTACGTTAAGGCCTTTTATAAAATGTTAGTCAGCCTTTGCAGTTTTATGTATATCAGCAAATTTAGATTACACTAGCTTTCGCCCGCGACTCCGTTTGTGTGGAATTAAAAAACACAAAAGTGAGTAGCCTATGTGTTCTTCCTCCTCCTCTACACCTATACCAAATTTCATCAAAATCCGCTCAACCTACATTTACACGTTACACGTTTACACTACAAACGCTAACAAACATCCATCCATCCATCGTAACTTTCGCATTTATCATATTTATATGATATATGATTGCTAACATTTTTGGCGTATTCTCTTACTAAAAAAAACACTTCACCAAGTACATTTAGTAAAAAAAATGAATAAATTAATAGTCTGAAGTCTACTGGGAAAATAAATTTCAGTCGTCGAGTAATTCATTGTTAATAATAAATGTGCAATTTACGACAGGATCGTAACTTGAGCAAGTGGCAGTGACAAGTGGAGGCTAAATGTATCAATTAACGGCTCCCTTACGATCCAATGGAAGCTTGTAAAATATTAATAACCCGGAATATATTGATCACTATTCAACCTTTACCTTATAAAGATAGGTTAAATTGTATTATTGGGAATTAACATATCTTTTGTATTTTTGTTACAAGATTGTTACAAGATTAATAATCTGCATTTTATTTATTTATTTATTTAAATTAGGCCTATCAACATAATTACATGACATTCATTGATTTCTATTTAGTAATCCAAACACACGTGGCATCATGTAACTACAATTACAGATTGTAGTTACATGATGCCACGTGTGTTTGGCTTTTGTTTTAGAAAGATCAGGTATATGCAATAAAATACCAATTAGTAACAGTATACGAAACCGATGACTTTTGACTAAACTATCGCACAACTGTTTAGTCGCGTTATAGTTCCTATGAGATTATATGGAGGTGTGTACACTACTAGCTTTTAGTTGTGTTAAGCAGTTGAATTGGCTGCGAAACAATCGACAATCTAACAACAGTTCTGCGATATTTTAGTCAAAGTTGTGCGCCCGCTCTTAATGGATAGTTTTTTTTTTAATAATGGTATTGAATAAATACTGTGATCATTTTAGTAAATATTCGGATATGAAGCAAACTGTTCTCTGATTTCCCTTTTAAATCAGTTACAGTCCTTTTCGGAAGACGTCCTTTATGATTGACTATTCCCTGAAGGAATCTTCATAATTACACTGACCCTTCATAAATATTCTTATGTAATTAAATACTTCATAAAGCCATGGAAGTTTTTGAATTTTAATTTACGATACCACGGATAAAGAAAAACCAGAAAAATAAACAATTCAAACACATTTCACTGCTTACTTTATATTAACACTCCTTTTGTTACTTATAAAAGTTGTCTATAATACAATCGGATTATGTATCTAATACTTATAGTGTCAGATAAATAACCTTCTATCCCTTAGTGATAGTAAAAATACCTGAATCTTGTAATAAAACGATCGCAATAAAGGTAAATACTGAATCCAAGCCAACTACATTAAATTACACGCACCGTAAATGTTCTTGGGAATTCACATATCTCAGGTATATTCGAAAAATATAGTAGACTAAATGCCGCACTTA